CGGATCGAGCGAAGTTCGTGCGGCACGGTTCCCGATCGCGTGCCACTTCCGCGAAAAGCTTTCCAGCTCGCGGTAATTACGCCGATGCGTGTCGGTATCGTTACGGTCACCGTTAACGACGCTTCCTTTAAGGGACGGCAGATCGGTGGCACGAATTAAACTGCTCGTTAGAGTCGCGTCCACCGCGACTACGCGCGAGATATCGTATCGCGTTCGGAATTATCGCTTCGCTGGACAAACGCGAAACTCGGCTCGGCTCCGCTCGCGTAATCGCTGGAGATAAAGTCGCAGAGCTTGATATTCCGTCCACTTCCCTTCAATTTTCCCGCCGGTTTCCGCTCCCTCGCGAGGTACTTAACCGTTTCGATTCGCGGTATTCGGAGCTGGATCGATGATAGAGAAGGGGAGAGACAGAGAGAGAGAGAGAGAGAGAAAGCGTTAAATCGGAGGAAAAGAGCGGCGAGGAGTTTATCGGATTCCAAAGACGCGGCCAGTTGGCGTGACGCGTTTCAATTTGTAGGAGCCGCCCGATTCTGGCGGCCAGCCATTATCGTGCAGCTTTAATGCCGTTAAAGCGAGTTTCCACGCACAATATCAAGCAGCCTTCGCATGGTTAGATCGCGATCGTTCTGGCAGCCGCGCCATCGTCCGCGAGCACGCGACCCGCACGCGGAATAAAACCATCGCATGCACCCCGCGACAGCGAGCGCTCGAAATAGCGTAACGATGGGGTCAAAACTATGGGAGGCGGTCAAAACTCAGCGAGGGGGGTTCAAAACTAAGCGTGGGGGGGTTCAAAACTAAGCGAGGAGGGGGGTTCAAAACTAAGCGCGGGGGGGTTCGAAACGCAGCAAGGGAAATCCAAAATGGAGCGAGGGGGTGATTCAAAACGGAGCTAGGGGGTCATTGAAAACACAGCAAGAGGGTGATTCGAAATTGAGCGAGGGGGTGATTCGAAACTGTGCTAGGGGGTGATTCGAAACTGAGCGAGGGGGTGATTCGAAACTGTGCTAGGGGGTGATTCAAAACGGGGCGAATAGACTTGACTTCGACTTCGACTTTGATTTCGAATTCCCCTCGATCTCGACCTCGACCTCCCCTCGGAATCCGAAGACACGGTTCTCCGCTTCGATCCGTGAATCGACGAATCTTACGGGCGTCGTCTTCCGGTATATAGCGATACGGAGAGGTCGATATTAATTTATCGGTATCGTTTGTTCTCGTCGCCAGCCAGCAGCGACAAGACGGCTGAGCGATTGAATATTAAGCGACGGGGCCTCTGTCTGCTCCTCGGCGAACTTCGCCCAAGGGACTTCCTTCGAACTAGAAAACGAGACCGAGAGCTACGACAGCCGCGAGAGGAGCACCGAGAGACCAGAGTCACGGTGCAGCGACGAGGACGAAGCGAGCAGCGACGCCGAAGAGTAGAGATAGGAGAGGCTCGCGGAGAAGGGAAAACCGAGCGGAAAGAGACGGAGAAATAGAGTGGAGAGGAGCGTGTAGGAGGTGGAGAAACAGAGAGAGAGAGAGAGAGAAGAGGATGGAAAGGAGAAGACTGCCGGGGGCGATTTCAATAATTAATGTCACGGGAATTGCCGCGCACCGGCGATGGTACTGGCGGAGTTACTACCGCAAACTTGAAATTCCCTGTCGCGGTATTCGAGGCAGATCGGTCCATGGATAATTACCGCGATTATCCCACGGACAAGCCGGCGAAGTCTCCGCGAGTTTATCGGCCTGGGTACTAATGAAAACTTCGCGAAGTAGTCAAGTCCCGCGCGCTGCTGCCTCTCGACCCCCTCGTCCCCCTCGATAAATTTCTTTCCTCTCCCTTCGATCTCTCGCCCCGGTTCTCTTCATCACCGAACCTGCTCGCTGCTCCTCCTGCCCCGCTGGCAAAAACCCCCGTGGATCCCTGCGACGCTCGTCATCGATGGGAACCACCCGGGAAATCGATACCGAGTCGGCCACGAATCGCCGCTCTGCTCGGCCAGACGCGACGGAAACGGAGGGGTCACGCGAGAACGTTTCGACGTTTGCTAGCTTCGACAATGGAATAACGCTGTATTACTTGACCTAGGACACAAAGACGTCGATCGGGCTACGTTGTCCCGTCTGGATCCGCGGTCGACGACGGAACCCCGACACGGGATGGTTGGTTCCCATGGAAACCAGCTTCTCGTCTCGTCGTCCTTCTCGACGTATCGCCGCAGACGAAAAGAGGAAGCGGAGGACCAGGGAGGGTGCAGCGGCGACAAAAGGAAAAATATCGAGAGAGGGGGAGAGAGAGAGTGGGTGGAAACAGGGGGTGTAACGGCGAGAGAGAGAGAGACGCCAGGATGGCGCGAGCAAAACCGGAGCCGAATCCAAAGAGGAACAGAGACCACTGCTCGGTTACTCCTTGGCGACGCTTGGTCGTTTGTCGCCGCGATGCCGATTAACATCGAAAAGAGGGTGGATGAGGGGGTGGTCCCCGTTGGTCAGAGGTAATTCGAGTGTTGGGTAAAATCGTGGAGGCTCGTGGAAAGTGGAGCGTCACGGTCGAAATCGAGCGGTAGGAACCCCGGGCCTTTTTGCCGTGGCGCGCCGTGCCGACACGGCTAAAGGTCGTCGGTCACGCGATCACGCCCTCGCTCGTTAACACCTACACAGGCGGGCAAGCAGGCAGGCAGGCAGGCAGACAGGCAAGCAGGCGGGAGCACAGGTGGATGAATTCCGCGCGGAAGCGTGCCGCCGGTAGGCGGTGGAGGCACGCGCATTACAATTCCGACGCGGTTAACGCGTTCCCTCCTCTTAATCAGCTCGAGACGTCCTCGAGTCCGTTCTCCCTGATAAAGAGGAAGCCAACGGCACGTTCGGGCCAAGAGGTTAAACGTGGCCCGGGATCTGAGCCGTGCGCCGGTGGGCGTTTCGCCGCTTCCGCCGACGCGGCAGGAAGTGGCTGCGAAGAAATATACCGACCACCGAGGTAAATTAGGAGGCTAAAAGGGAACCGGAAGCGGCGGATTCCGAGATTAGATTCCGCCGGTCGTTCCTTTAAAAAGACCAACCACGATTTCGCGGTATCGTTTCGCGAAACGGAAGAAAACGGCGGACGTCTCGACCGAGATCGCGGGAAGGCAAACGTTGCGCGCGTGCACGCGCTTGTAACGGCGATAATAGGCGTCGCAAAGTGGCCAGAGTATATATTCGAGCATCGATGGGAAACGGAAGGGAGAGCCGCCGCGTCGAATGGTTAATTCATGAAACAGTATCCCTTGCTTCTCCCTCGGCCACTCTCGAGCTTCGACCCGCTTCAACCCCCGCCGGCCCGGCCGCATCGTTTAGAAACGTTCGAATATCAATGAATCCACAGGTTTTTGTCCGGACCTCGGACAATCCCGCGTGATTCTCGCTTTTCGACACCGGTCCCGGACCGTTATCCGCGCGGCGAACCGCGGCGGAACCGGCGGCTCGCTCGAAAGCTAAATAAATATTTGGATTTTCGCGAACAAACGCGGAATCCGGCAAAAGGTCGCCAGCGACGCTGTTGCTCCGCCGCGAGTTGCGTACGCGAGAAATTTGTAAACCCGCGTAGTGTCTGCGCGTAAATATTTTCCGGATCCCGTTCGACCTTCCGCGGAATGTCTCTCCCGCCTCCTCCTTCCTCTCCGCGTCTGCTCGCGATCGCTCGGAAACGAATTCCGAGCGTATCCGATACGTCTGCGGCGAACCACGGCGATAAGAAAGAATTTATCTCGGCGAGACGAGAAAGAGCTCGATCGCGCGGAAGAGTTGCTCGACTCGATTCCCGACGCGCGCGTTTCTCGTTTTACGCTCGAATCTCGGAGCGTAAATCGCGCGATGGCCGCGTTCCGCGAAAATCCGCAGGAAGTTTAAGGTAAACGGTTATCGAACCACCCCGTGTAACGTAAATTTTCCACGCGTCGCCGGAGTACGCACACGTGCACGTATACGTACGCGTAGCACGCGTGGTAGTCTTTTTACCCCCGCCGGTCGGTCGGTGGGTGTATAAACGCGTATAACCGCGCGCGCAGCGCGAGTCAAATATAAATTTCCCCGGACGGAGAGTTAATGGGAAAGGTCAGTGACTCCGAAACGCGGCTGTAAATCGACGTTCGGGCTTTTTGCGGATCGCGATGAATCCACAGGTTTTTCATAGGCCATTGCTACTTCGGTACGAGCAGGTGGGCCCGCCGCGCAAATAATTCCCCGCTGCGCGCTTTTATGAAAATATTTCCCGTCCGAGAGAATGGCGCGAGACTCGCGGGGTCGAGGAAAAAGCGCGCGAGCGAGCTCACGCAACGATTAAATTAGTTCGCCGCAGTTTCGCCCCGATCATTGTCGCGCGCGCGAAATAAAAAGCCGCGCGGACGAGGAGAAAGAATGGAGGAAAAGGAGAGAGCGAGAGGAAAGGATAGAACGGAGAAACGGGGAAACGAAATTAAACTGTCCCGAAATATCCGGTTTCCGGCATTCGTCGGTGTCGCGCAGCGGAGAGCGGCGAATAACGAGACCAGTTCCGCGAGGCAATAAAATCCCCCCGTTTCGCCGTGGTTAATCGTCTAATGGACCGATAAACGCCGAGTAGCTGCCGCGGTCGTCGAGCAGGTGGGTCCGCTTTTCTCGGGGACACCACGCACGTCGCGAACCGCGGCCATTCTTCAAGAGAGGAATCTTCGCGCGGAATCTCGTCGGGGGTGCGGTGGTCGTTCGACCGAGGCGGAATCGCGCAGAAAATGCGTGGAAAACGCGACGTTAGGTTTATTGGCGAGGATTGGCGAGGATTCGCAAGGAGGGTTAGCCGGCGATATGAAGAGGCTCGTTACCGTGAGCCTCGTAATGGGATAGCTTTGCGACGCATCGCAGGGGCTGGAATCACGTTCGAGTAGAACGCGTAACAGGATTGCCGACTTTGATCGCGCCATCGAGCATTTTCACTCGACAGGGGATTACCCCGAAACAAGAGGCACACAACACGCTACGGAAACTTTACTTACGAGGCTTCGTGGCTTCCTGCGGCGTCACTTCGGTCAACTGCAAAGAAAAACAGCGATTGTTCAGAACTGATAATGTCGCGGGGTAACGCGACCTACAAACGCAACCGAACAACCCCCACGATCGACCTCTCTGCGCCGAATAACGTCCGCTCTTACTTTCCACCCCTATCGTCTCGCCGATCTCGTTCGCGCCAGCCTTTGTTCCGCCAAAGACAAATTTCCTCCTCGCGATTAGCAGGATTGCGTTCGTTTCGATTAATCGCGTCGCCCGCTGGCGAGCGGAGAAACGCAGCGGCGCGTGAGACCGCGCCGTAACCCGCGAGTCGACTCGGGGTGAGAAAGGCACACACGACCGGCCGTGAAATTAATCCGCTTTCCACCGTGATAGATCGGTGATACCTCGCGACTCGTTTTTCCCCTTATCTCGATCGATTCGCGCCTCTTTCTTGCGCTTTTTCTCCTCCTTTTTCCCCGTCGAGCCACGACGACCACGACGTGGACGTGGACGACGAAGCGACATTCGGGAGCGCACGAAACTCTTGACACGGCGCCAAGTGGCACGAAAGCTAGAGCTTGTTCGGCTCGAAAACGCCGGCATCGATCGATCGGCCGCGCGTTCCTCGCCGAGCGTTTCGAGGAGCATTTCGAGGAGCGCTTCGAAGAGCGGCCTGCAGAGCACGGGAATCCGAAATTCCGCGTTCGCCAGCCGCTCTGGCCGTTTTCTAGGACGGACACACGGCCGTTGCGCGAAAGCCGATTTATCCGCAACGAAAGCCGTCCGTCTCGGCGAGCGCGAGCTTCTTGACACGGTGCCAAGTGGCACGAAACGCTTCTCGGTCGCTCGATACAATTCCAAACGTTTCCACGATCGATACTCGCCCCGAGATTGCCACGGCGAGCGAGTAATCCGCGAGTTACGCGCCGCGTCCGGTGATCCACGCCGGCCCACGCCGCGATTCATCTCCCCGAGCTACCTGCCCCCCGTACGAACGCGACAATTCTCACCTTCGCCAGCACGGGGTTGAACGTGAACTTCGACTCGAGCTCCTTCCTCGGCGTCTGGGCGATGGCCGTCAGAGGCGTGGGCGGCATTGTCATTTCCTGAAACAGAAGCGACGATCGTCCATTAGCGATTAGGTCGCAAATGACTGGGTCGTGAATCGATTCGGTCGCTAATGACTGGGTCGTGAATCGATTCGGTCGCCAATGATTGGGTCGTGAATCGATTCGGTCACGAATGACTGAGTCGTGAATCAGTTCGGTCCCAAATCGATTCAGTCGCGAATGACTGGGTCGTAAACGATTGAGTCGTAAATGACTGAGTCATGAATCTATTCGGTCGCCAATGACTGGGTCGTGAATCGATTCGGTCACCAATGACTGGGTCGTGAATCGATTTGGTAGTGAATGATTGGGTCGTAAATCGATTGGGTCGCGAATGACTGGGTCGTGAATCAGTTCGGTCCCAAATCGATTCAGTCGCGAATGACTGGGTCGTAAACGACTGAGTCGTAAATGACTGAGTCATGAATCTATTCGGTCGCTAATGACTGGGTCGTGAATCGATTCGGTCACCAATGACTGGGTCGTGAATCGATTTGGTAGTGAATGATTGGGTCGTAAATCGATTGGGTCGCGAATGACTGGGTCGTTAATCAGTTCGGTCCCAAATCGATTCAGTCGCGAATGACTGGGTCGTAAACGACTGAGTCGTAAATGACTGAGTCATGAATCTATTCGGTCGCCAATGACTGGGTCGTGAATCGATTCGGTCGCCAATGACTGGGTCGTGAATCGATTTGGTAGTGAATGATTGGGTCGTAAATCGATTGGGTCGCGAATGACTGGGTCGTGAATCAGTTCGGTCCCAAATCGATTCAGTCGCGAATGACTGGGTCGTAAACGACTGAGTCGTAAATGACTGAGTCATGAATCTATTCGGTCGCCAATGACTGGGTCGTGAATCGATTCGGTCGCCAATGACTGGGTCGTGAATCGATTTGGTAGTGAATGATTGGGTCGTAAATCGATTGGGTCGCGAATGACTCGGTCGCGCGTTCCACCCCCGCGTATGAACCCACCTCCTACGTCATCGTGAACGAAGAACCCGAAAAGAGAAAACCGAGGAAAAACGGAAACACGAAGCTTCGTTTTCACCTCTATATATACACCGGAGCGTACATACGCGACGTCTGGCGGAACGCGTCGCCTTCTCCTCCGCCCATTGTCGGCGCGACGAAAAAGGTGACCCTTTTCCTTTCATCGAGGCATCGTGTCAGCGCCGGCTGCGACCGGCTTGTGCAAGCGAGACACCTCGAAAGCGGGTGCTTTTGCGTAAGACCGAGCGCATCTGGGCCACGATTACGTCAACGAGCACCGGCGAGCGAGGGCCACGAATTCCGCGTATGATCGGCCGCAGCGGGCAGGTACTCGGAACTCGCGTCTATTAGCGTAGCGGGCCGTGGTCCTCGGTGGCACGCTCGCGTATCCACGAGCGTGCTCGCGGCCGTACGCATGGTCGCAAACGCGCGAACAATGCAGTCTGGTGCATCGCATCGGCACGGCGCGGCTGAACGAAACGCGTTTCCACCGGTGAATCGTCGGGACCGATTCATTGACCCGTCGAGACATCCGTCGACGCGAACAAAGCGCGACGAGACAAAAGCCACTCGTCGTCCGTGCGCTTATATTCTTCCTACGATCAACGGCACAGCTCTCGCTCGCGAATTATGCAGCCGCGAAAATTCGAGCGCGCGAGTATATCGAACCGGTCACGGTTCCCGCCGCGTCCACGTGTCCGTGCACGCTCCAACCGTGACGGGACAATCAACGTCGCTCTTAAACGCTGCTGCCCACGCGAGAATCACGCTCGAAATAACGCGCGTGCGACGGGAACGTGGACGACAAACGTGGACCAGAAACGTGAACGGAATATGTCGTCTTTCCTCGTTTCGGCCGACGTGGGAAAAACCAACTGCGTCGTTACGACCATGGTCAACGTCCGAAATGCACTAACGATTCGAGAGTCAACCCCCTGAGTCAATGGGTTGCCCCCCTCTTGTCATCTCTTCGAACCTTTTTCTATCGCGTCGTTATATACACAAACCCCAAACGAGTCATCCGAAACAAACCAAAGTCCATCGATAGCCAATCTCGAGTCAACCAATATTTCCCCAAGTCATACACCACCCCCTTTCTCTACATACACAGTCCCACATATATATACATATACATATCTGCACCAGGGGACACGAATAATAAAGCGAATTCCGTAACAAGTATAAACTCCACCGTGTTATTATTGAAAGACAACGTCATATACATTGTCCCTTTTCGTCTTAATCCGTTTTCCAAACGTTTGGGTCCGAGATACAGAACACAGTTGGAGGCCCCTTTTGTAACGGGGCCCAGAGGGTTTATTTTTTCATGACGACTTTCCAGAGTTCAATTCGGGTCGAACTTTATTTTTTTTACCATGATTCCACAACATATCGGACTGTAAAATTGTATTATAATTTCTTAATTTTCTCTATTGTGGGGGCCCCCTTCCCCGTGACGGAGCTAGAGGGCACCGAAAGGAAAATGGGGGGGCTGTCGTTTCATCCTGGATCTGCTAGTGGACTCATCCGGTAAGACTATCTAGTCGACCATGTCTTAGATCTGGATACTATTAGAAAGCTTGGAACTTGTATATATATGAAACGGACGGTCTTACCCAGCACTTGCGAGAAAGTCTTCGGACCTCCTTCGAGTAGGAGTCCATCTATCGGCGAGAGTGGGAACGACGCCGCCGAGCTATCTCGATTACAATTACTATTTCACGGAATACGAGTGCACTGCGTTTCTTAACCTTGAAATCTACAACAGTTATACCTTCGCGAGATCTTTCATGACACTACTTAGTCATCCGCGTTATTTGAGAGTTGGCCTAACGTCGTTCTTACATCACCGTAATTGTCCCGTGACACGTGCGACGCGGCTATCATCTATCGCAAGTGCATCTGCCCTGCTTTTCTCCTATTTTTTTATTTTTTTTTTCGTTTTTCTCCATTTCTTTTTTCTCGCGTCAGATGTTCGCGTGGGAGGGTCCACGCGCCTCCTAGAGGGTGCTGCGTTTCGTCACGCGTTCTCGAGATCCCCGTCGCTTTGACACGCGATAAATCGGGAATCTGGCCCGGGTCCTTGGCACCCTGGCGTGTGTCACTCGAAACGGATCTTCGACCCGGTGACCTACACGCCCTCCTCGCTTGCTCGACGCGTACGTAGGTATATATACACGTTGTAAATTAGGCGAGGGAAATTTGCCCGGCGTCGAGGCGCGTCGCTAGATACACGCGTAACGGGAAAACGCTTCTACTCACGCGGTGGATTACGCGGCGCGTTTGGCCGGGTTTAGCCGGCTTAGCGCTCGAGTACGAAAATCCGCGCGGTTGGCGGAAAAACACGGGACGACGGTGCGCGAAATATCGTATATTATATATAGGCGAGGATATATAGATTGTCCCGCGAAAAAAGAATAATGCAACCGCGGCGGGATCGCTCCACGATCATGCATAATGTAAAGCGGCGCGTCGTGAATATAACGGTGAACGGGAATGGCAGCGTTATCCTTCGAGCGGAAACGCACGGCAGAACATCGTTACCAGTCGACGTTCCGATATTTTTCCGCTCCACATTTTTCCACCGGCGAAAATCGCGTCGCGTTAATCGGCATCGCCGATACGAGGCCGCGATCCGATACTACCCGTCGTCCTTCGCGATCGAATTCCATTCGCAGGCAAATTCCGTTTACTCGGGCCGAATCTCGGCGAGCTCGGCGAATATGTACTCTCTCGAGGAGAGGAATAGGCTCGCGGCTGTCGATTCGGTGATTCCAGGGGAGACACGGAGAATGGGGAAAAGGTAAAAAGGAAGGAGACGAAGCGAACGAACCGGCGTCGTTAATCGCGACTTATTATTCTCGCTCGGCCGTGTGCAGCTTCGAGACACGCGTGACTCGCGTACGAAATCGTCCATTTGCATCCCGCCGCTCGACGACCACGACGACACGACGCCGACGAGCACGGCACACACGGGCCCGAACGAAAAAGGACTCGACACGTTTGCCAAGAGGAGAGAATTCTCCGGGGGCTGAGTCACCCTCTCGCGCGACGTACCATTTCGTGCGAACCAGTTACACTCGCGGCCGGCCGCTTTATTCCCGCTCGACACGAAACGCCACCGCGAGTTACGGCCATTCCACCAGCCGTCTAATGGATCCGTCACACCGCGATCGATGCGATCGAACCCCGGTTCCCCCACTCGTTATTTCCCGCCTTATTTCCCGCGCTCTCGCTTCCTTCCCGGAATCGGGCCCGTTTTCGAATTTCCATTCCCTTTCCCTCTTCCCGCGAGCCTCGTCCTTGATCTTGCAACCGTTCCACGGAACTCGTGGCGCCACCGCGGAAGATGGCGGAGAGGTCGCCGAAAATTGCCGGAGCCTGTCACCGCGATAAGATAACCCGCCCTCGCGACGCCGGTTGAATTATTTATTCGAAACAGGCGAGAGAAGGGGTTCGATGATCCGTGGCGTGACTGCCGAGAAAATCGCTCGCTCGACTATTCGCGAAAACCGCACGCGTGTCGTCGCGGAGGGTGAAAGAACCGGCGTTTCGTCGCGTATCCTTCTCGGAGACGACTCGTCGTGGAATTCACCGCGACGAGACCTCCTCTCTCGCCATCCGTTGCGTCGCGCGACCGCCGCAAACGTGTTCGCCGATAATTATGCGGCGCACGCGGCAAGGATCGAAAACCCGTTATCGGTTGGCCGATGCATCGACGGTCGTAAGAGAGCCGCGAGATCGCATTTGCGGCACCCTCGGCGATCGAGAAAACGACACGATTCCCCGAGATCGATCGTGTCCTCGAGTTTTCCATTTCCACTCCGCCCGTGTATCGCCCCCCTCTCTCTCTCCCTCGCCTTTCCGCGACCCAACGAATTTACGACGCGCCACTCCGTTGTCCCCCACGGAATCTTTTATTTCGACCACGGTTTTGCGAAACGACCCCCGGTCTCCGGGATAAATATTATCCTCGTCGAATATTCCATTCGATAAACGTCA